TTTGGCAGTTGGTTGGTTTCTGCTGGAGATTTTAAACGAACGCACCTTATACAAGGTGGTGTTGATGGCGAATTAAATTTTCGCCGCGGTACTACTGAATGTCAAAATGATGTTTGTTTTAAACAAGGCGAATTCATTTTACAACAAACACATCATTTTGACATTCAGTAGTACCGCGGCGAAAATTTAATTCGCCATCAACACCACCTTGTATAAATTCGCCTTGGCCAATCAGCTGTTGCTTTTCATTTTGCAAAAGAGATTTGGCAAAATTGTAACAAAAGATTTGCATTCACACCTACTCAAATCAAGAAAAAAGCTGCATTGAAAAAGATAGGTAAATACCCGTCTATTTCTGGCGGAGCAGGGCTCTAACCAAACCGACACCTTTAAAAATGCGTCGCCGTGCCGGTCTAGGTGCCATTCAACAACAGCAGTTAGCTGCTGAGAAGTATAAGGATAAATTTACAGATTTGCAGGAATCGCAGTTTGAGCAAATGTCCAAACAGATGGACGTATTTCGTGCAAAGTTAGAAGAATTTGCGGTGAAACATAAGCAGGATATCCGCAAAAACTCGCAGTTTCGTAAACAATTTCAAGAAATGTGTGCGGCGATCGGAGTTGATCCCCTTGCTACAGGCAAGGGCTTCTGGAGTGTCCTCGGAATAGGTGATTTCTATTACGAATTGGGGGTACAAGTTGTTGAAGTGTGCTTGGCGTCAAATCATAAAACAGGTAAATATGTATTAACATTCTTAGAAAACAGTTTACAAAATAACTCCTCACCTTATTGCCCGGATCTCATTATTCACGTAGCTTGCGAGTGCAGTAATCCAGCTCGGCACTGGACTGGAATGATGACCGTTATACGATGTTCGCACGAGGCGATTTTACAGGCAACTTTTAGTTGGAAGCAAAAATCGCCTGGTGTAGATAGATAGATAAATTATGAGGTATGCACTGCGACCTGATGGTCTGTTGTGCCCTCCACTCTTCACAATACTTCCTCCAAGCCAAGATCCCCCAGGAAGTCCAAAAGCTTCTTTGGGGATAAGGAGTGTATGTGCTCTAACTGTGGCCACATGGAGCCTCTGCTGACTGCATCACACTCGATGAGGATGTGGAGTGGCGTTTCACTGGAGACGTCGCAGAATCGCCTGGCGTGATCGGCCTTTCAACTAATCGCTTCCAATGAAGTTGGGGTGCAGTAAACTTTTGATTCAACTAATCGCCTCTAAAATTGCCTGGGGAATCACCTCACGCGAACACCGTATTTTGGCTGGTGCCACTTTAGGGCATGCTCAGGTCTGCGTACCACGCGAGATTGGACGGGGAACTTCGAGGGCCCGTGTTGCGCTGCTCGGTCGCAGACTTCAATTGCGACGCCCCCCCACCACCACCACAGGGCGGCAATCACCTCAGCAGCACACACAGCCAACGGCGGCAAGAACATACACCTCACTTACACCCCACATCACGACACGTCTCCCGAACCACATGAAGCTCCTTCAATTCAACTGTAACGGGCTACAGAGCAAGATTGAAGAGATAACCGTTTTCATGTGTCGGCATGGTATATTAATAGCTGCGGTCCAAGAGACGAAGTTCGTCGGTCGAGATCGCGAGCGAGATAATGGTGGTGGCTTAGCGTTCATCACGCACCACACCGTGCAGTATCGTCTCATAGAAGCAGACATCGACCGCAGGGATACCAGGGAATGTCAGGGCATCGCTATCCGGTCAGGCGATGTCGAGCTCGAAATATTTAACATATACATACCCCCTGTCACCTGCTGCCCGGCAGGATATCACCCTGATATAGGTGCGCTCCTCAGAGGTGAAAACCGTATGGTAGTAGGTGACTTTAATGCGCACCACGATCTTTGGCACTCAAGCCTGTCAAACGATCGTAGGGAAACAGACGTCAGGAGGCATCTATATGAACTGACGGACGAAGTCCAGAGGTCCATTAAGCAACCTCTGGACCCGACAGCGTACAGACAGGCCCTGAACGGCATTCACAGGGACTCAGTCTCGAGTTATGTAGACTCTAGACCTGTGAAGAAAGATGCGGCAACTGAGTCTCTAAAACATGTGAATTTTAAATTGGGTGTTCCTGAAGCGCTCTTTCGTAAGCTGCTTATGCCCGAAATCTGGCCTGCCAATGTTACGGTTCGTCCTTTTCGTTTTTTACAAAGAAAGGAAAAACAGTCTCAACCAGCCTAGTAAATGTTAAACCTGCGAATGAGCTGAAAATCTATTTTCATAATGTGTCTGGCATGCGATCTAAAGGTGATGTGGTTCGTAGACTAAGCTCACATCAAGAATATGACATTTTCATTAT